AAAAGGGAAACATATTACCTTTCACAGCCAAGAATGTGCCACTGCTTAACATCTGTGAATATGTGGCCCGCGTTTGACAGAAATATGTTGCTTCATCCTCTTTGCTGACATTTCTGATAGTAAATATTTCTTTGTTCAATGTGAAACGTGAATCTTTAAATGCATCAGATAAAGTTATTTTGTCAGAATAACAGAAGCAACACTTTGGGGCAAGTGTCCCAGAGACTGTTTATACCATGAAAGGATTTTAACTCCTTCTCAGAAACTTCACAGCCAAAAGTAACATTGTCACCAAGGTCAACAACAGTCAAAGAGATCAACTGAGGAACCTCTGAAGTTCGAGTCACAGCTGAAGAAGAAAAAAAATGCAGTTAACAAAATGACAAAATCAATGTAAATAATGTTAAATATCTTGCCCATATGGAAGGTTTAGTCACAAGGTTATAAAGGTTTCCAAAGCAGAAATCAGTGATTGGCTGAAATGTAGGAAATTACCCCTCCCCCATTCAGCAAACCTTTGTTCAATTTTCATTTGATAAAAGACGTCTTATATCAAATCACATAAAAGTATGTCTTTCTTAGTACCTTCTGGTAGCAGTGTGTTATCAGTTCTCAGTGTCTTTATTAAGGCACTTATTAAGGAAGTTATTGTTTTTGTAATTATTAGTTGCTTATTGTTAGTCACAAGCTCTGTAAATCTTTAACATCAGAAGATACTACTTTGCCACTTTGTATTAGTATTTAAATGATGATTTTTGTTGTGTCTACCAGCACAAATATAAGGATACAAAGATGCAAAAGTTTCACAAAATCATTTTCACTTCTTTAATTTCACGATTTTTCTATAAAAAATCATGAATATACCTGCAGTTGATGTAGGGTCATGTCTGACCGTGCAAACTGTTTATGATCACTTAAAAACACATTAGAATTAATTCACGGTGAGTTTTCTTACTTTAGTTTCACTTCTTAAGGTAGACACAACCCTGCTGTACCTGTGTTAAGCCCTAAACAGGAAGCTTTCTGACTATATTTGCTCAGTTAGGCCAGATATCCACCTGTGCTCAAACAATTTTATTAGACACCACAAACTGAGATACAGAAGGGTGAAAAAAGTTCTTGTCACCCTTCCGGATTTCCAATTTTTTGTATGTTTGTCAAACTTATATGTTTCAGATCAGTAAAACAAATTGAAATATTCAACGATATTAAACACAAAATGCAGTTTCTAAATGAAGGCGTTTATTATTAAAGTGGGGAAAAAATCGAAATCTACTTGGCCATATGTGAATAAGTGAGGAGCAACCACTTTTTCACAGTATGCTTGCTTCTCTAAACAAAGCTTCACTGATTTCTCAGTCATTCGCTCTAGCAGGTAAAGGAAACAGTGGTGATCAGTAAAGCTTCTAGAATTGTAGCCTCCATTTCTCCTGTATGTTTCTATTATAGAGTAACTATGGTGATCACTTCTTTTTCTTCTTTTTGGACTGGTTTTCCACTTTGCTTTGTGTTCTTAGTCTCTTGTTCCTACATAAACACTAAAATAAACATTCTATCCATGTCCCTTTGAGGTATTCGTCACCCTATTGGTGCTGTTAGTGGGTGGGTCTGTGGTGTTTCATGTCATATACATCAGCAGTCCATTTTGCGGCACCGATTCGGTTTAATGACAGACAGTATTTTCATGGACCGGCCTTTAAGGTGTCACGGATAAATACAACAAAATAAAATGATATGACCAAGACAAGAACTGTGGTATTTTGTAAATATTATAATAAACACGAATTCAAGATGCAAAACCTTTTTAAAATGTTGCGCCAACAACATTGAGAGTTGGCACATTTCAGGAGAAGCGTTTCCTCTCTGTTTCTTAATGCTCTCTGGTCGCCATGGTAACACGTAAACATTTCTTTCAAAATAAGACACATAACTACAGCACGTGAAAAGACCCAGGTAAACCCAGTTAACGATAAAAACCCTGAAAACCATAAATTTCACACCCGAGCCTCAACTGTACCAAACGACACGTCTGTAGCCGGGGGTTGGGCACCCCTGATATACATGTTATGGTGTAACACAAAAGTAATGTGTAATGAATAGCATTCTTAGATATTATATTAGATATTAAATAAAGTACTGCATTACTTTTAATAAAAGTAACAATTAATATATGA